CGCAGTAGGCTGGACTGGGATGTTCCAGTGCACTACAGTCTTAATGTGGATGCTCCTCACCGAACGCTGCCTTTCATACCACACAGGGAACTGAGCCATAGGAGACCTTAGCGGGAAATAAACCCATGCACACATATTCTCAGTGCAGATTAACGAAACCAGGCAGCAAGTCCCATTCATCCACTCTTCCTCCAATGGTTGTCCTGGGGATGCTGGACAGACAGATGGAGTTAGACAACACAGATCCATTAGACAGGTTTTCCCTGCGTGGGGAGATTAAGAGCCCAAGCAAATATTCTGGTTGCACACATTTATTTTAAAAAAATAATTACGTACATTTGCATACAAATTAGATGCTTCCCTCAGGCTCCTGGCAAAAGGCCAGTGCCACCATTGGTGCTGTGAAGTTTGGGCAGCCCTGTTCCCAGTGTATGTTTAAGCAATTAAGCCCCTCTGATAATGAAAGCCTGGGTGGTTCCCGGTAAAAGAGAAAAGAAAGCTAGAGCTCAAGTGTCTGAGGTAGGTACAGGCAGGTGGGAAGCATGGAGCATCCTATGGGTAGCAACAGAGATTTTCTTCCCTTGATTGGTGGCCATCAAGACATCAGTTTTCCAGCTCTCTCCCCTTTGTGATTTATTTCCAGGTAGGAAGCCATGTTCCAGCGATTCTTCACAGTTAACTCAGCTGCTAGTTAGACAAGCTCCAGTGAAACCTTTGTCTTTTTAATGGTAAACAAAGTTGCAAACCTGCTTTAAAAAAATCACATTTTGCAGATCAACACATTAATTTTTAATGCAGCTTTGGGACACCAGCTGTCTTGGCAAGGGTCACGGTGTTTCCTAGGCATTTAACATAAAACCGTGCTTCAAAGCCACGTTATAGGGTCGTTGAAGAGTAATATTTTACTTAACATCCTGCTAACTGAATAATTTATAGCTTCTCATGTTTTATTCACAGGAAATATTAATACTAGTGTCTTTAAGAGTAGAGGTTATCACTGCAATTTTAACTTTAAGAGATGATATTAATGAAATAAAGAAATGAGCATGCATTTTTCTACCCACAGCTGTTTTCATTCACACTTTGCTCTCCACAGTCATCCCTACAGCATGGAAGAATTTCCCATTCACAAGGAAACTTGGCCCAGGCATTTGGATTTGGGAGTATTTTGCTGTATTATTTAACTTTGTGCAGTTCCTGATAGCTCATGGTTCCCCAGTGGCTAGTCCAGGGGTATTAATTATACAGTGCTCGTACCTTAGTGCCTGGTGCCCAGCTATCAGGTTTTGGGTATTCACATCAGATTTAGGGTACTCTTCTTTTGGTGGCTGGTGGCCTATCAGGATTGTAAAGCTTTTTGAGGTAGTGGGCTGTCTTCTTACTAAGTATCTGTATAGCATGTGTTCCTGATCCCCAATTCAACTCTTCCGTCATACAACTAATACGAAAAATGAAGTCCTAGATCATCGGAAAGTCGGGCTGGAAGGGACCTCCTGAGGTCATCTATTCCAGCCCCCTGCTCAAGGCAGGATCATCTCTGACTAAACCACCCCAGCCAAAGTGTCTGTCCAACCTGCTCTTGAACGTTTCCAGATCCTACCACCTCTCTGGGCAGGCTGTTGCAGCGCTTCACCACCCTCAGTCAGAAAGCTCCTCCTAATCTCCAACCTCAGTTTTCTCTGCTGCAGCCTGGGTATCTTGGTTTCTTATAGCCTCAGAGCCTGATTTTGCACTCAGTCCCTAATTTAGGGAAATGTCAGTCATTTGAACAATATGAAAATATCAAAGAAAGGCACCAACTTTTCCGGGCATGGCTGAAGGATGGTTTTACTGTCCCTCACTTGGGCTGACCCCTAGGGAGGGGACGTTAACCGGAGCAAAGCCAGGGAGCCCTCTGAGTGTCTAGCAGGACTTTGGATTGGGTGGACCTCAGTCCCAAGGAGTCCTAAATGGCACATCCTGCACCAGACAGGATTCCCCTGAGAGAAGGTACTTGTCTCTGGGTTATTGCTAGGACAAGACCCCTTTAATCAGGGAATTTGCTGAAGCAAGGCATCCCCAGGCCACCCCCCCATTATACCTCACCCCCACTTTGGAGGCGGCACTGCCTGGACATAGCCCTGATGGCTCTTGATTTCCATGGGGCTTGGAGCTAGGCCCTTTCCTGGCATTCTTCTCCAGGCTGGTGGGTTTTCCAGTGATCCCTCCATTCCCATTTGCTGTAGCCATCGGGTGCCCTGCCCTTGCTCATAGGAGGAGCAAACCAGTTTCCACCTTCCAAATCAGAGAAGTTGTGTCATTTCTATAGAGAAGGTCGTTTGCCTGCTGCCCTCTCTGTAGGGGAAGCAGAGCACATGGCACTGCTGTTGGAGGCCAAGCTCCCAGCCCGGCGGGTTTCACGTTACACGTAGGCCGGCTGTAATCAGGGTGTACAAGCCACACGGTGAGCTGCTGGGCGCGGGGAACGGTGGCTCGGGTGTTCCAGCTATCTCTCAAAGGCCATCTGGCACATGAAATCCACTCGCACTTGAAGCAAAATGGTTATTAATGAAATGCTTAGTGCCAGAGAGCAAGATCTAAGCTCAACCTTCCCCACCCTTCGCCGGGGCTTTGCTCCTCGGTGTCATGCAATCATCTGAACAAACGCGTGACGAGAAAGTCGAGGCTGCTGATAGGGAGTGGGTTAATGCAGCCCATATTTAATGCATGAATGCTAATAGCAGGCTCCCAGCTGCCTGAGTCCAGCTGGAATCTGCAATGAGTGATGAAGCCACCCTGACGTCTCCCTAGCTTGTTTTCTAGCCGAGGCACCTTTTTTACCCCATGCCACCTGCAAAAGGAGGCAAGAAGTTGTTTTGAGGAGGGAGAGAAGTCTTTTTTAGGGCTGGGAAGGCAGAATTAGAGGGCAGAAGGGTGGTTCTTGAATCTCATCTTGTCTGGTAAGTTGAGGGATTTTCCTGTGTGTGTGGTACTGAAAATGAATCATGAGCTAAATAAGTGCTGGGCTGTTTATTAGCCCGGGATATGGTTATTGTGGAGTCAACAGGCAGCACCTTCCAATTAATTAATAGTAATAATTACTGTATTATTTATGTCTCACTAACAGCATGCCAGGCACTTTGCACACAATGATTATTGCTATTACTGCACGCTGAATCGGGATGGTTTTTCTTCTCCTTCCCTGGATGCTTTGCAATTTGTCCTTTCCTGCCAGCTGGCTGGAATGAGAAGCCAAGGCAGCCATGTGTATTGTGGCCATGTGGGGGCTAACCCGGAGAGGTCCTGAGTGCTTTCTGGTAACATCAGGCTTGCCGGATGCTCAGGGGCAGGTCGGAGGTGTGCAGTGTCCCTCAGAAGTGGGGTCGGTGGTGATTCAGTTCTACAAGGAGCAGAAATGAGCAGTGCAGGAAGATGCAGGGTGTTTGGTTATGGAGAGGTGATGTGGAAGTGGGAGATGATGGTTCTCACTTCTTACTTTACACTTCAGTGGCACTGGAGGTGACGTGGGCCTTGTCCACAGCAGTGACCACAAGACAGAAACCCACTACTGTTTGTTAAACTTGCTCTCTGCAGCAGTGTCCCTGGTTCCCTGTAATGCTAACACTGGATTCCTTGATGTGCACATGCCCTCTCTCACCATGTCCTGGTCTTCTCTCCATTCCTGTGGAGCATGGTAACATCTTATGAATGAATCTACGTTGGATCCTTTCCTGGATGACCACAACATGCTACAAGATACAGTGTTGTGGCAGGAGCTTGGGATGCTCAGTAGAAGTGTTCACCCATTAGCTTGCTTAAAGGGCCCCTCAGAAGCAGCGTTCCCTTTATATGCAATTTTTGCTTGGCAGGCAGGCAGGAAGGCCTGACAAAGCTCAGGCTTAATGGCATCAGCTTTATGGTCTGGTGATTGAAATGACAGGGGCGCTGGGTCTTGCAGTGCTAGCACCATCAGGGAAGACCTGTTGCTGGTGTTTTGACTGTGCCGTTGCAGTGTCCTGGGGGCTTCTCTGGACTCCCAGCCAGGACTCCCTGGAGTGAATGCTGTGTGAATTCTTGTCTGATTGATGCAACTCACTGTTCTGCACTTCCTTGGTCTCAGTCAGGTCTACTCAAGGCAAAATTTGGCTTGTTATGTATTTGCGTTCATTAGGTTGCCGGGTGTCTGCAATAGGTTTGTTAGTTGTACAGTACTGAATGGGGGGCTTCTGCTGCTATTGGGGCATGGGGCAAATAGGCACAAAAACTAGCACTGGGAGTTGAGGATGGATCACTAGCAATGTTGGGACATGTTTCTATCATTTCAAGTCTTAATTTACTGTTGTTGTAATCGGTCCTTTTGTGGTGCTGGAAAGCAGGAACTGGAAATGAGCTGAGGCTGCCTGCAATGTGTGTCAAGCAGAGGTTCAGAATTGACTGCCAGGAAAGGTTCTCCCAGCTTGTTCTGTAAGCCTTTCCAATGCAGAAATGACAACCAAGTTAATGCCATAGTGAAGCCATACACACAACAAGGATGGCTGTGGGTGGTGGGCTTGAAAGGTCCTCGCAGCAGTGGAATAAAAAGAGCCTAGGAAGAAGATGCTCATTTTCTACTATTAGGCCTGATCCAAAACCCACTGAAATCAATAGTATAGACTGTCAGTGAATGCTACTGCAGCGTTGCAGCATCCTTCTTGATGCTGTGATAACAGAGGCACTTGCAAGCTTCATTGCTTAGTGGAGATGTTTCTCCTTTCAGTTTAAGTAAGATTTAGGCACACGAATGCACAGCTTCTAAGCACTACTGCTTCTTTATCCCAAGGGATCGGGTACATATTCAGGTGGGATCAAGCAAGCTCCAGCTGTATTTTTGGCAACTTCATTGCATCACCCAACCTAATTCTTGACTGCTGGGAGCTGAAGTCATTGATAGCTCTGCCAGCCAAGGTCACTGCAACCTTTGTTGGCAGTGCTGTTTCTTAGTCTGGATCTCACCTGCCCCTGTTTTTTCCCTTCTCTTCCAGCTATGTCTGACTTCCACATTCACCCACAGAATGCAGTTGTGGAAGAAGGAGGTATTGCACGGTTCCAGTGTCAGATCCATGGGTTACCAGAGCCTGTAATCTTGTGGCAAAAGAATCGTGTCCCCATCAGTACAGATAACAAAAGGTAAGAGGCACACAGATGACTTACCACGCGCAGTTTCTCTCTGCACCCACAAGCATGTTGGAAACAGGTCACAGCATCATAGAAAATGAGGGTTGGAAGGGACCTCAGGAGGTCACATCTAGTCCAGCCCCCTGCTCAAAGCAGGACCAGCCCCAACTAGATCATCCCAGCCGGGTCTTGGTTGAGCTGGTTCTTAAAAATCTCCACGGATGGAGATTCCACCACGTCTCTGGATAACCTGTTCCAGGTCAGCCAAATTCAGTCTTGCAAGCCCAGTGAGATGGAAAGGTCTCTCTGCTGCCTGGCTCCATGGGAGTCACTGTCCTTCTGTCATGAAAAGACAGCTGTAATATATCTTACAGACTCCATAGGATCCTTTAGGCTTAGAGATGTGCTAAATTAATGCATCCCTGGGCCACGCTGTTTCTGCCTCTTCCCAGCTGACACCGCTCATTCTGCAGGGCTCTCTGGTAGAGGAGAGATTCAATGCAACCCTCACTGCAGGTTGATTTTCCTGTGCTAGGAGCCCTCCATCAGGTTCTGTGCAGGACCTGACTGATCAGCCCACACTGCATGTCCCGTCCCATCTTTGCTTTGACTCAAGTGGTGTGAATTTCCCTTTTGCTGCTGAGCCAAAGTCAAAGGGACAAGTTATATGAGCAGCAGCCTGGTGCTAGGAGGCCCTTTGAGGAGTTCAACTCTGACCTCATCAGAAGTCTCTGAGCTGCCTTGTGATACGGTGCCTTGTCAATAATGAGATGAACAGAGGGATCCTCCTCCTAAAACCTATTTAGCTCCTTTCCTATTCAACCAGCCTTTAAAAAAAAACAACCAAACTCATTTCCCCTCCTCCCTTATTACCCTGAAATACCCCCTCCTTACTTCTTTGTTTGACAGGTCCCTCCCTTTGCTTAGGAAACAGTTTGATCTTCCAAGAGTTGGCAGAAAATGAGGGGGCAGGTGGGAGGGCACGTAACAGGAAAGGAATGACATGCTATCTGCAGCCCATGCTCGTCACGGCTGCCTCTGATCAGCCCCTAAACAAGATTTCCTGGAGAGCGCGGATCTTAGCACACCTTCGTCACAACTCGCTGTCTGCTTAGGAGGAAGAGATGCAATGAGGAATCAGAAAAGATTTTTTTCTCTGAAGGCCCCTGGTCTCAAAATGTCATTTCAGTGCCAGAAGGAAGCTTGGTGCTTGAGAGGCTAAAACAAGACGCAGAAGAACTGAAACAATGGTCGACCTTTTCAGCTGCTCCATGAACTTACATTAGAAGCACCCAAGAGACCAACTGAGGAATAAAACTGCAGCCATCAGATTTTGCTTTTCCTTGTATTATCAAATCTTTTTTCTTAGGCAACTACAGGCTTGGCTCGTGTTGAGTATTACACAAGGAGCTACGTAGAGGTCCTGGCTAGCCAGCAGCATGGCCCAGTGGGACTCTGTGGTATAGATAAATACCAGTTAGGGTGAGTAAAGGCTGCAGACCTGAGCCTTGAAAGTGCATTCATTAAAATGAAGCTGTTGAAACTGGAACAAGTCATAGGATCATAGGAAAGTAGGGCTGGAAGGGACGTCACGAAGTCATGTAGTCCAGCCCCTTGCTCAGGACAGGATCATCCCTGACTAAACCACTCCAGCCAAGTGTCTGTCTAACCTGCTCTTGAAAATTTCCAAGGATGGAGATTTCACAACCTCTCTGGGTAGCCTGTTCCAATGCTGAACCACCCTCTGAGTGAGAAAATATTTCCTAATCTCCAATTTAAATTTCCACTGCTGCAGTTTGAGGCCACTGTTCCTACTCCTGCCCCCTGCAGCCACGAAGGATAGTCTATCTCCAGCTATGGGAATTACAGGAGGAGAGCTGCATGCACCTTTGCTCCAGAGATGCCAAAGATTGGAGTGGCAAAGATTGCTGCAGGCTAGGGTCAAAGTGTATGCCCAGTGTTGGGGGCTTGGGGATGTGCCCATGTGTACGGTAAGGAGTTGAACAAGACCACCGCCCCTCCTTACAACTGAGGCTGAAAAGGAACAGCCGCAGAATCCAGTCCTGTGATCATCCAGCATGTTTTCCACTGCTTGCCCTTTGCTCCTCCTTGGATAAGGGAGAACTATCTCCTGGCAAGAAGTTAGATTAGGTTCCTCCTACCTGTCCTGAGCATCTGGAGTCTGAACAGATTCTGCTTCCTGTGGGAATAGAGAAGGTTTCTATCATGAGCTCTGTAGATTAATCTCTGACACCCAAGAGACTGGGTGAAGAGAGCTGCTTCCTCTGTAACTGAATTGGATTTCTACATTAATCATGGTTGGTGCATTTCTGTGTATAAATTGTTTATAAATGTGTATGCTGAGTCTTACGTTTTGAGGCTTTGAAGACAGAATAATAGCTTTGGAATTGAATCTTCTAATGCTGTGGGCAGATTGTTAACAAAAATGAAGGCTTCTGGTGGTATAATTCATCCAAAACAAAGAACATTTTAAAGTCCCGGGGAGATTGCAATCAACTTCAGTACATATAAAACTGATTGCTCTCACACTGTCTGAGATACTCAGCCAGGCTTTCAGAACCCGGCATAGAGAGCAGGTTACAGATACTTAACCATATGCTGATCTAGAAAAAGATATTCTCCAGCTTCCAGATGGAACCAAATTATTAACTCATCAGAGTGTAATGACCTACTGCCAGCCAATTTAAAGATATGGCTGTAAAAAATAAGATGCTAAGCAACCTATCATAATACAGTATATATATATTATTAAAGCCCATTCACTTAAAGTTCTAGAGATGACTGAAAATGCCAGAAATTTCAAACCTCTTCCTAAATACTCTACCATTAACCTATTTTAACACTGGTAAAATAAGAACAAATGGCAACAAAAAAGTGTGCTAATGACCTCTGGCATTGGGAGATGGTGTGAGGTTCACACAGACCCAACTCCATAAAGATCTAATAAGACTGAAAAAGCATTATTGGCAGGGCCCAGGGGAGGCGATACCGCTACAGTTTGCCAGTAAACGTTGCCAACAGTACAGTGCATTCCAGACTGAGTCCAGCACAGATAATTAATCTCTGGTGAGATAATGTTTTGTACCTCCATGAAGCCAATCAGTGCCATCAGGCAGCACATATTAGCGGCAGACTCCTATTGAGGTTCATTTGTGTGGACAGTTGCAGGCTTCTTTTGTCCTTCGAGCAATAAAGTCTGGAATTTCTCATGTGTTCTGTTGTCCAACTCTAGTAACTTGAAAAATAATATTAACAAAGGCTAGGAAAGGATCCCAGGTGCAGACAGGGCAGTGTTCAGTGTGGAAAAAAGTCCTCAACTGTTTTCTCCCTGGGGTGGTTCCATCTCTGAGATGTTTTCTTCTGCAGTTGACTTGTCTTGTCCCACATGTCCAGCCAAATGCACTGCTGAGGCTGCCACAAAGTCCTGCTCTGTTACCTTTGACACATAACATCCCCTGGAACATTGGCTCTTTGAAGAGAAACTCCTGCTAAAGGGACATTTCCATGGAGAAAATCTTAGTATCTTATATGTCAGGTATCCAGGTTGTAGCCGTATTGGTCTAGAGGAAAAGGTAATCAGGACTTGTAGTACAGATGATATCTTTTATTAGAGTAGAAAGGTTTTTGCAATTAAAGAAACTTTTTTGCAAAAATCTTGTTGGTCTAATAAAAGATACCATCTCTACTATGAGTCCTGATTGCCTAGTATCTTATATAAAACTCTAACTGTGGGGTTTGACTGCTGTCAAAGGCGCATTGGAAAGTCAAAGATCCTGTCTCTGAAAGAAACGGTCTTTGTGTTACTAGACCTGAGATCCTTGAGTTGGGGTGAGCTTGGCTTGGGTGGCACCTTTGTGTACTCCCAGACACAGGGGTGCTGGGAATCCGTACTGTCAGAAGCCCGAAGTCACCCTGGATATACAACTCTGCTGTCCAGCCATGTTCATTTAGCAAATGCTTTGCTTTTTTGTGCCCTTTAGGTACACGCTGCTTCCAAAGGGAGTCCTGCAGATCACTGGGCTGAGAGCTGAAGACAGTGGGATTTTTCACTGTGTTGCTACAAATATTGCGAATGTGAAATTCAGCCGGGAAGCCAGACTCACCGTGTCAGGTTTGTAGGAGCCAGCCTGGTCTAGAAGTTCTTTTCCCCATTCCCCTTCTCCCCTCTGTTTTGGGCTGGGACAGCTTAGCATAGTGGTTCTCAACCTTTTTAGACTCAAAGCACCCCTCAGTAGATTTGAGGCACTAGCACCTCAATAGACTCAAGCCCCCACCTTTGAAATTTCCAGCTCTCAGTTTTCACTGTTTTTTTTAACTACAGAAAAATACCAGAACAATTCTTCTGTTGCAAAGAACTCAGAAAGACCACAACAGGGCAGTTTTTAACACTATGGATTCCTATTTGAAATCTCTTGGTTTTTCCTGTGAATCATGTCTGCGAACCTAACAGTGCTACATAGCACCCTTGAAAAGATCTCAGGCACCTCTGGGTGCCATAGCACCCTGGTTGAGAATCACTGGTTTAACAGATCATTACTGAGGTTCCTGTCAACGGGCTTTCTTCTGCCTAAGAATACTGCATTCATTCTTCCTGAGTATTATTAGTTGCTGCCAGAATGGTCCATTTGATTGCAAATAAATCTGTCTCTTTGCCTTTAAATTAGTGCTGGTTGCTGCGTGGGGAGGGAGCAAGGTGGGAACATGAGTTACGGCAGCTTTACATTAAATAAATCCCTTTTGAAACGTGAAAGATTCATCATCTCCTTATAAGCTCTGTCCACTCCTGAAGTAATTGTAACATGCAGCATGATCAATTATTTATCCAGGAGGAGAAATATATTCTGTGTGCTGTTAGCACTGCATTACAGCCCAAGGAGCAGTGGCGCTTCCAAAAGAAAAAGCACAGGGAAAATCCTCCAGAAGAATAAGCTGTTTTAAAAAAAACCCGTTGGCTTTAACCCCCTGATTGAAACTGATGGGAAATTTTGCCATTGGCTTCAGTTGTTCACTCCTGACCGTACCAAATATTATAGGGGGAAAAGCGGACACGCCGGAGGGCAGGGAACAACTACAGGCAGACCTGGACAGGTTGGACAAGTGGGCAGAAAACAACAGAATGCAATTCAACAAGGAGAAATGCAAAGTGCTGCACCTAGGGAGGAAAAATGTCCAGCACATGTACTGCCTAGGAAATGACCTGCCTGGAGGCACGAAATTGGAAAGTGACCTTGGAGTCCTAGTGGACTCCAAGATGAACATGAGTCAGCAGTGTGACGAAGCCATCAGAAAAGCCAATGGCACTTTATCGTGCATCAGCAGATGCATGACGAATAGGTCCAAGGAGGTGATACTTCCCCTCTATCGGGCGCTGGTCAGACCGCAGTTGGAATACTGCATGCAATTCTGGGCGCCGCACTTCAAGAGGGATGTGGATAACCTGGAGAGGGTCCAGAGAAGGGCCACTCGTATGGTTAAGGGCTCGCAGGCCAAGCCCTGTGAGGAGAGACTGGGGCACCTGGACCTCTTCAGCCTCCGCAAGAGAAGGCTGAGAGGCGACCTTGTGGCTGGCTATAAGTTTATCAAGGGGGGGCAGAAACGGA